CCCTATCCCTCAGCTTGGGCCTCAGCCGCATCACAACCAAGACAAACGAGCAGCATCTGTCACCCAGGCATCGCAGTCGTGAATGGTATGCCTGCAGCCCTAAGGGGCGGGGTAGCAGCAGGTGCTGTGCCGAGGCACGGCCTGCGCCTTGTCGGCGATGCTCGGCACCCTGCTGCCCAGGAGGCCTAACAATGAACTTTCGTCGCTCCCGCTGTCTTAAGGGACGGGGAGCAAAGCAGCTTTGACCCCAGTGAGTAGAACGTGCAAGCTCAGTAGAAGTAGCTGAAGTTGCCAAGAGGAGGAGGAACTCCCCAAGGGACCGAGGCCTAAGTTGAGTCGTCGCGAAGCGAGGCTAACTAACCGAGACATTCGAGGACTTTCCCGCTGCGAGTGAATGAAATGTGGTTGTGGTTGTTGTTGTTGTTGTTGCTGCTGCTGCTGTTCCTGTTTCTATTGGCTCTTGGTTCTTGGTTGTTGGTTCTTGACTGTTGTTTGCTGCTTGCTGTTTGCTGTTTGCTGTTGTTGTTGTTGTCGCTGGTGGTGGTGGTGGTGGTGGAGGAGGAGGTGGTGGTGGTGGCGGTGGTGGTGGTGGTGGTGGTTGGTGGTTGTTGGTTGGTGGTTGTTGGCTGTCGTTGTTGTTGTTGTTGTCGTTGTGGTCGTTCTGGTCGTTCTGGGGTTGTTGGTCGTCGTTGGTTGTTGTTTGCTTTTGTTGTTTGTCCGTGTTTTGTGCCGTTTTTGGTTGTTTCTTGTTGTCGTCGTTGTTGTTGGTTTTCTTCTTTGATCTCTGAGGTGGCATGGGTGCTGCAAGTGGCCTGGCCGATCGTTGCCGGGACTTGCAGCACCGGGCTGCAGTGTTGAACCTCGAGCTGGACTCCCTCAAGAAAGGTGCCAGGCAAAAACGGACGCTAAGCTCAAGTGATGGCTAGCGGCTAGCTCCAGCCGAAAGATAACTGTGTCGAACTCACATGAAGTGTCAGACGAGGCAAGCGATGGAGGACGGGCCACATTGTTGCGAGGAAGCCTGGCGTCGGAGAATCGTTCACAGGAGTGCTCCAGGGACGCTCGTGATCTTGCCCAAAGACTGGAGTTGGCGGAGAAGGATGAGTTAAAGAAGGTGCCTCCGCTTCGTGGCAATTCGCCAGAACACAGGACCAGCCGGGTTCGACGCTGTTGGTGGAAGCTGAGGTGCACATGAGGGGCAGCAGGGGGGGGAAGCCTGGGTCTTGCTCAGAAAGCGTGAACTGTACGCGGGATCAGGCTGCGGACTTGCACTCCGACTTCAAGGCCGAGGTGGTCTCTCTTTTGACTGAGAGCTTCCTGGCTCAGGGTTTAAAGCGCGATCTTTGGCTCTATGGCTCTGTGACTTTCTGTCAGTTGTGTTGTGAGGAAGTGAGCTCAGGGAGTCGCTCCAGAAACAGAAGGAAATGGCAGAGCTGCAGCAGCTGCTTGCTGACGAGAGGAGAGCTCCCAGAGCGGCCCAGCTCCCGGCCTGTTGCCTTTGTTTGGCGACCGCAAGCCCCCAGGATGCTGCTGGAGAAACGCCGGATGTCTGCAGCTGCAGCACGTCATGAAAGTTAGATGAGGTGCATATTGAATATGGGATTTCATGTAGAGTCGTAGAGCCACTGATGGATGCTTGTGTCAGGCACAACCTCGCCCTCCCTTTAAAGCACTCCAGCACTTCATGTCTCCAATCGAGTTCCTGCACAAGTTTCGTATGAGAGATCTATGGATCGTGACAAGTGACGATAACCAGCAACTGTAGCTGCATGGGTGCGGCGTGTGAGGACATGCTGCGTGAAATCGCAGACTTGGAGGAGCAGGCAGACGACCTCGAGCGCCTCCCGCCTCTGTCTGGAGATCTCTGTTTGGTGGCATGTGAAGTGATACAAACTAGGGCTCTTCTGGAGGCTCTCAGAAGGTTCTGACGAATGCTTTGCCCAGCCCTTGCAAAACCTGCCAAGCTCCTATTTGGAAGCGTGTTCAAGAAAATCAGCTGACGGCCTCTTTTTGGACCCGGACCCATGACCCAGGCCCAGGCCAAAGTGCATTGCGATGGGTCGTCGTTCTTCCAGGTCGTGATGCAATTTAGGTGCCAATCCGAAAATGCCTTGATTTGCGTGGCTTTCTGATATCAATGTGCCTTGGGCATCCTTGCCCCCAGTTGTGGTCTCAGCACCGTTCTCGGCCCCAGAATCTGCCAAAGACGAGGAAACAGTCAACGTGTCCTTGGCGAGATGCGCAACTCATTGGAGAGGCTGGCGATGCAGGTTGAAGAGCGCCTCCGTCTTCAAAACTGTTGGTGTGCGTCGTGTGGTATGCTGTGTTTGTGTGTGTGTGTGCGTGCGTGTAACTGGGGTTCTAGGTTTCTCCAAATATCAAGAGAGTTGGGCTCAGAGTTGCATGTGAGTTGTGAGACCATGAGCCTCGATCCACCCCCACACTCGTGGAAGAGCACGTTGCGTTGGAAAGCTGCGAAGCTGTGCGAAGCGGATTTCTTCAGCCATTGCCTTCTACATGTTACTCATTATCATTTGATGCTGGTTGATCTAACGGAATCTAACGGGTAACCAAACATATCGACGTTATCCTTGTCAAGCGGGTCATGGAGAAGCCCACGCCAACCCGGCTTGCACGTGCCGTGACTCACGGCTTAGCTGTTCCGGCAAGCTAGAGTTTAACTCACGAAGAAAGCTAGCTTGATTTAGTTAGGTTGGTGTGCTAGAGGATTGGAATTCGGAGAGATATCATGATGAGCATGGTTGATGGAGACCATACGGCCTCAACCCGGACATGTCGAATCAGCAAGTTGGCAAGATTGTTCGCACAAACCGTGCAACAACTTGCCGCGGTCACGGGTATTCTTGCATGTGGCATGGAAGTGCCGCGGGGTGCATCTGTTTGTCTGGAGATGCCAACTGTTCTAATCGATAGGTCCTCGTTTCTGTCACATCCAGAACTTTCGTCTCATCCCCCTACTTCGTCCTGTCAAAAAGTGCAGTCCTGCTAGCTGTGACTGAAACGCTGCCATAATATTTCACACATTTCACCCGCAGTACAGAAGCTATGCCAAGTATTTGGGAGTTACAGGTTAGCCCCGTTTGGTTGGTAGCCCTCCTGCGCATGTTCGAGTTAGAGACGACGGCCCAAAGGACACAGGAAGGCGCACTCTCCTTGTGAAGAGTCCGTGCAGCGCTTGTCATAGGAGCGCGATAGACATGGCAAAACGCAGAGCAAGCACTGCAAACTAGCCGATCATCTTCTCCTCATCCACACTGGTCCACACTGAGGGTGGGACCCTGCACCGGAGCACAGGGTACAAGATGGCACAAAAGGGACGCCAGATTGATCGCCAGTGCTATGAGAGCACAGAAAGCAACAATTTCAACAATCTCCAGTTAATTACGCAGAACACCTGCCCTGTACAACACGAGTACGGTGGCGAACTCTTCAGAAAGTCTTGTGGGGATCAAATTTCTGTTACTCATTTTGAGCTTAGATGTGAATGTGGCTTGCATTCCAAGGCTGCGCCGCGCCAAGGATCAGGCCGAGGCGTCACTCTTGTGCAATTCGCAGCTAGACAGCTCGATTGTGCACACATGGCCCACTTGGCATGTTCGATGGCCATGAACTTTCCAGGATTGGCTTGGGGCAGTCTGGGCAGCTTTGAACCAGCAACGACGAGAGCAGCTGCTGCTTCACCAGTGCTTCGGCTGCGCCGAGTTGATGTTTCTTGCCTGCGGGTTCCTGTCCTAAGGCGAGTAAAGGAAGAGGACTGAAACTTGCTGCCAGAACAGCGCTGAATGCAAGAAGCGGCATTTCTGGAGGATGATTGGGCAGGTCGTCTGCAAGATCGGAGCTTTGCCAGCAGGAAGCCGGAGATTCCACAGATGCACAGATTTGAAAAGTGCATTTCCAGATGGTATTCCTTGCAACACACCATCCCTCGCAAAGAGTGTTGGCAAACGCATGGCCAAGGACAGAGTCGCTAGTGGTCGAGCTGCAAGTGCTTGTGCCCTGGCCAAGTCTGAATGCCCCATCCAAAGGAGGAACATACCGCCTGAAGGCGAGGCTCTTAGAAAACCTGCAGGTGAAAGAAGCAGAGCAGCTAAGCACACTGCACCTCAGCCTCTTCCCCCAGAAGCCCGAAGCCTGCCAGAGGAGGAAGAGAGAAAGCAATGAGCATCGAAAGAGGCGAGCGGGCCTCAAGAACACCAACAAAGCCGCCCCACGCGGCAGCATGTGCGTAGAAGCGACATGCCCAAGGAGCTCCCGGGTGACCCACCCGAGTCGCCTGACAAACGGATTATGCAAACACCCCGAGAGAAAAAGATGTCTTGCAATGCAAGGACAGGCATGACAGGCACTTGAAGCACCTCATGAGACAATAGCCGGGAATAGCACTACCTGACTTGTAATGAGAGCAATGCCTCATAGCATGGTTCCAGTATTGTTTGGAGGGCACTGGCCGAATGGACATCTGCCGTCTTCTGCATTCTTTCGAGCATGCTGCAGAAAGGCTGGATAAACTGCTGGGCCCAAGACCACTAAGCCCTCAGTTTTGGGAGTGCCGGGCTCACGCTCAGCTCCGGGCGGGCAACGTTAGATCAACATCTAAGAACGCGTTTTTTTTTGCGAACATACCACCATGCTCAAGTGAGCTGGGACATCATCGAAAAGGGCTTCCTTGGCGACGCAAGTTCCTCAGTCCTGAAGCAGTCAGCGAAGGCGCTAAGCCTGCTAAGCAGCTTCTCGCTGGTCTTCTGGCTGGGTGGCTCCCAGCCCATCCATGGGAAGGCACATGAAGCACCAAAAACACGATGCGCCGCAGAGTGCGCTCCCAAGACAAGTCAGCACCTGCTAGCATCATAAGATCTTGATGGCCAGAGACAAGGAACACCAAGAATAATTAAATTGTGTTCCCGAAAGCATTCTGGCAGCATTCCAGAAAAGCTTGGGCAAAACATGCTGAAGAATTCCTGTTTCAGCTGTTCAGTGTTCGCAAGAGTCCGTGGAAAGCATTCCAAAAGTTGCCTCCTGGTGTAGTGCAGCTCAGAAGCCGCCTTACTCAAGCATATGGTTGGGATAGCGCCCTCCGAATACTTCAAGGAGCAGCAAACCATAGCAAACCACGGCTGCAGCCCACGCCACTGCAACTCCGGCAGAGTTGTCCATGGACGCTCTTCCGCCGAAGCTCCCGTCCTAGCATAAACCCACTCAAAAAGCGTTCCGGAAAAGCATTCTGCCCACACCGCCTCCCCACCCTATGGCCCTTGCCCCGTGTGGGTCTCCTGGCGGCATCCCAGGCAGCCATCAGAATACTTTTCGGAATACTATTAATCCGCAGCTGACTTTGCGAAGGCAGGCCGTCCATGTAGGCCCACAACCGTGGCAAAGTCTTTTTCGGGGGCACCGATTTGCACCTTGTCCGTTGCCAGGCACTCACAAGTTCAGCAACCAAGCGTTCCGGAAAGGGGGTTTCGAAAGGTTTCGTGTAGTTGCAGAGCAATCGTGAGGGCCCGGCTTGGCAGCACATACCCCTTGCCCTCCTAGTCCTAGACTGCCAAGGAGAAAGAGACACAAGCGCAACAGAGAATCCCGGAAACAGCGGAAAAGGACAGCTGTTGAACCGGTTGGAGCTTGAGGTGGTTTCGAGAATGGAGCAGAGTGTTGCTGTTGCTTTCCAAGGAATTCAACATAAATCATGATACGCAGGTCGTGCCAAGCTGAAAGGCGCGAAACCTGGTCGTTCGTGTGCCACAGCACCTGCTCGCAGTTCTGCGAGGAAACGTTTCGCTCGCTGGCGCTGCTGCAGCAGAGCAGGACTGCAAGCCTTCACACGTTGTCTGCAAAAAGGCCCCCCCCATGGATTTTTCACGGTTGCTGAGGCATTGATTAGGGCATGAAGCAAGCCTGCACCCAAAGGCTTTTCCCGTCGGGTTGGCCAAATGAGAGTCCCGCAGTCATTCGAGTGGAGGGATTGCGATATCTTGGGGTCATGGGATATATGGGATAGTGTTGCCCGTCAGCTTTTGCCAAAGTTGCGATTCTCTTGGCAATCATGGATCCGACAACATGGGCACCCTGCACTGTCTCTAGACGGAAAAAATGCTTGCCGACATCCCAAGTCAAGAAACTCACTGCAGCGGGGGCAGGGGGGGGGGTGGGGGGCGGAGTGCTTTTCACCCCGCTGCAGCTTTTGATTAAGAGGCTGGTGTAGGCTATGCCGGAAGAATTCAGATGACCACTTCCATGCATCAGGTTCAGCAGGAAATGCGGTGATGGGAGACCTCTATCGAGCTGTGGCATGTTTAGACAGTCGAAACGTCCAAGGGAGAAGTGCCGTTGCCAGGTTGCTGTGCTTCACAAGTGCCACGCTCTAGAGTCGGAGAGACCTGCCGTGCGGCCTATGGCCTATAGTTTGGAATGCGGGAGCCAAGCAGCACCAAAAGTTGGGCTCGAAAGAACGACGCTAGTTAGTAGCTGATCGTGCTGCTACTGTTCGCATCTTGACATGCGCTGTCCATGCAGGAAAGATGCTCGCCAAGCTCTGTCTCGTCCAAGACTTAGCTGTTGGAGTGTTGTTAGCGGTCGTGGGAGAAAACTGTTGTCTCAACACTATCGTTGCAGCTGCTGTTGTGCCGATGCTGGCTTTCCGTTTCACGATGTTTCACGTGCTGCAAAACAAAGTCCTGGGGTTGTGACGGGTTGTTTGGGTCAGGCACGGCTTTGTCGCGATTGCGACCCGCGTATTTGCACCAAGCAGGTAACAACAGACCAAGAGGTTCCCCTCGCCACAAATGGTCAAGCAGGAGAAAGCACGAACTGCGAAATTATCTGAACGGACTGTATGTTGCTTGCAGCTCACGGCTCGCCTGTTGTCCCAGCACCATCGGCGGCCTCAGCCCCTCCTTTGGCCTGGGAAACCAAAGGAACCCTCGCAGCCGGCGTGGTCTGTGGCTTCCATTCGAAGAAGGGTTTCCGTGAAGAAGGCCCTGGGACCTGGGCAGCCTGGGCAGAGGGAGCTCCAACAAAAGGCTTGCCTACGAAAACATGCGACTTGGGGATTGCGGAGGCCCAAGAGTTTCGAGGACTCGCTGTGTCCTGTTCAGGGTGCGGCTCTGTGTGTGTGTGTGTGTGAATCAATCCGAGAGAATGAGGCTCCTGAGTCCAGTCGACAGGCCCCGGGCCGTTATTGATTGGTTGCTCAACCGGTGGGGCGGTGTCTTTTCTGAAGCAATGGTCGGTCTGGTGGATGCAACTTGCTGCCCTCGGTTTTTTCCTCTCAGTGAAGATTGCTGACGTCTGTAGCGGCTCTCGTGAATAGACGTACCGTAGACGGATACGACAATGAGTGTGCTTTCACTGCAAGACCTTTTGAGCACTTTGAGTTGTGGTCCTCTTGAATCCTGTGCACGAGTCCTCTGCACTGTATTGTCCTGTGTTTAGCAGTCCTTGGCCTTATACGGTCGCTGTGTCTGGTATTTTTTGCTGCTCTGGCAGCGAACTGCAAATTTTCTTTCTGCATGCATTTTTGCAGGGATGAATGCTTGCATATCGGACGTGACGGAAAATTCTCGGAACTGTCACGCGCGAGCAAAAAAAGCCTACTTGGCTCCCTGTGCGCGCAGGGGATTCGCGAAAAAGGGTGCAGGTGTCATGGTTGGCCCCTCCTGGGCACTTACCGCAGCGGGGGGTCGCATCCATTCCATAGGTCTGACTGGAATACGGGACCCAATCCCCACCATGTTACTTAGTTACTTTTGCTGACGGGCCCCTCTGACGCCAAAATTAGATTGTTTCAGTTTAAGTTCGGGAGTGCAAATAAGATCTTTTTTCGTGTGAATGGAAACCTGCTTCCAAGGGACGCACCAGAAAGGGATACAGGGGTGCCAGGAAGGCAAAATCGCTGGCACCAACGAAGGCCACTTTTGTCCTCTTGACAAACTTGCGTGGACCGACGAACCTGTATACCTGCAAAGGCCAGCCCCAACTTCCCTCGAAGTGCTGTTGCTTCAACATGGCCAAAGAAGTGGATCGATCAGAAAGAATGAGGCTTTTGAGTCCTTGACAAGGCCCGGGCCCGCGACGGATTCTGAACATAAAGCTTGGCTCTGTCCAGATACATTGCTGCATGACTATGGTTCGTAGGTGGTGCTAAGTTGCAGGTGAAAGTTCAACTCACAACCAGACCAGACAGCCCGGGCCTAGATGTTGTTGTGGTGTTCTTGGTGGTGCTGGTGTTTATTGGTGTCTCGAGCCGTGCAGCATGGCTCAGCGCCGTGTAGGTGGTGCAGGTGGTGCTGGTTGTGCCAGTGTTGCGTCTGGTTCCGTCTTGTCTGTTGGTCGTCTACAGTGCAATGCCTCCTGAGAGTCCGGCAAATTGAACGAGATCTGCACAGGCGGGCAGGTGTTTCGGCAGACCATGTTTCGACTTGGTTTGGACTGCTGCTAAGGTCAGTTGGCTCGAGGCCGTCAGGTGCAAGGTTCTCTGAAAGAGGCCGTGTTTCGACTGCAAGGAGGCATCGGACCTCGGGTCTGGAGCTTCTTGTCAAACCGTCAGGAGACCCAGCAGATCTCCCTGCTGGAAAATTTGCGACCGGTGAGGCCGATGCTGACCCCTAATTGAAGTTTGGGCACACGAAGCAGTGGTAGTGTCGCCTGGCGCGCAGCACCTTCCAAGTGTCTGCCAGAGGCAGCTGCCTGAACGAGAAAAAAGGTCTGAACAGCGGGCGTGCTGTCATTGGGCACAAGGTCAAGAGTGTTCGCGGCCACATTTGCAATAGTTCGTGGAGTCGAACATTAGGCACAATGCGAATCACGCTTCACGAATGATGCGTCAGTGGGGCTTGAGCTGGAGTTGCAAGTATGGTTTGCAGAACCAACACCATTGGGGCCGATATACAAAAACTCTGGAAACTCTGGAAACCACATGACGTGAAGCGAACTTCAGGGATTGTTGACAACGCCAGCACTGATCATCCGTTTACTGTCGCTTGGATCGAAGCTGATGCCTGGATGATGGAGGGTTGCAGCCGGTCCCAGTCAGTGTCCCACTGCGGGGGACATGATGCGCAGTGCAATATTGCTTAAGGTTAGGGTCCGTTGCAGTTCTCGGAAACATGAATTATCGTAGGCGTGGCCCGACGAAGACATGTGTGTTGGATTTTTGTGCTTGGAACATTTGGGGTATTGTGAGGATCTTGTCACTTCGTTCGGCAGTGGGCATGCCACGTGTGCTGTTTCCATGCAGCACTTCAACTGCTGCTTGCGGGTGCTTTAGTAGCTGCTGCCATGACTGGACACTGTGAACTGCAAGAGACTTAATTAGGCCAAACTGTGCCGGGGTGAGTTCATTTTTCAGATGTATACCTTTCGGACACTGTAGAGTCAAATACTGTGTAAAGAACGTGTGTGCTGGTTTCTCATTTTGGGAGGTTGCAAAGACTAGACGAGTTTTCGTTCTGCGTGTCTGACAGCCGGTTTCCCTGCTAACTTTGTGTACAGGGTTGCTGCCTACCGGCGATGCAAAATAAAGAATGAAGGTATCAAGTGCCTATTTTGACCTGCGAAGGCTCGGGCGCTTCTCACAGCTGTGAGCTAGTGTTTTGACTTTCACCTCGGATGCCATGGACATGTCGTATTTGCTGTCGCTGGGCCTGCTTGGTCACAGATCAGTGTTCTGGCGTGGGGCATGTGCTGCAGCGACTCGGCCAGTGACGGAGCATGTCCAGAATCTCGAGACTGCCTCTGTCACCTCGTTTCAACTAAAGGAATGGGAATGCTTGCAGAAGAGCTTGCGCTCTCGTCTACGGGACTGGGATGATGAGGGTTGGACGATTGATGATCTTCGCCGGATAGGTGGTCTGGACATTGGCTTCGAGGATGGCACCAACCGGGCCACAGCAGTCCTGGTTGTCTGTGAGTTGCGCGGTTGCCACCTGAAGCTGATCTACGAAGATTCTGTAGATGTGGACATGGCTCTTCCCTACATTTCTGGGTTTCTGTTCGTGAGGGAAATTCCTGCGTACGAACTGCTGCTGCAGCGCTTGAGGGACAGTGCACCCGACGTAGAACCCGACGTTTTTTTGGTTGACGGATCTGGCCTGTTCCACCCGCGGCAGTGTGGTTCAGCTTCGCACTTTGGCATCCTGCACAACTTGCGCACAGTCGGCGTGGCCAAGAAGCTTCTCTGCTTCGAGGACTTCGACAGAGAGCACGGGCAGACGGTAGAAGAGAAGGTGTTGTCAAGACCAGGTGACAGCACGCCACTTGTTGGCACCAGTGGATTCATCTATGGATTCGCTGTTCGCACTTCAGCTGCCAGGGCGAAGGGTCAAGACAGTTCGCGGCGAGTGTATGTATCTGCTGGACACAGGTTCTCACAAGACACTGCCAAGAATGTCGTCTTGATGTGTAATGTGGAGGGGGGGTCATACATGCCAGAACCGATCCGACTAGCAGATCTGACTGGAAGAGCCATTGAGCGAGCTTGGAAGCAAATCCATTCAACATCGGAGCCTCAAGCAAGACAGATGATAATGGACGTGTCCAATCTCTTGGATGACAAGCAGCGAAAGACACTCGTAGCAATTCTGGATGAGGTGGAGGCTGAGCCCTGCGAAACTCTGGAGAACTTCAGCACTTTCTAGTGCGGTTCGGGTTCTTGCTTCCTTTGAGTGTGGACATCAGTCTAAGGCCGTGCTCTCTAGCATCTCAGCCGACAGCATCAAGAGAAAACAGGCGACAAAGGACGAGCTGTTTGAGCCTCTGCAAGCCACTAGGCCATGCTTGATACAGACCATTTCACAGACTACAAGCCCGTCCTGACGAATTGCAAATGTCCGAGAATACCGGTCTCGTCAATAAGGACATGTATCCTGATGCAACGATGCTGGAGCTTCGTGCAGCGCCTCGGCTGTCTCTCCTACTGGTTTTTTCTCGAAGTGAGACCTTTTCTGAGGCGCTTAAGATGGAGAAGCCCTGGGCCACCGATCTGCGTAAAGCTTCGCTTCGCCACCAGCAAGCTGGGCGGGCAATGCGGCTGAGCCGATGATTGTACAGAGACCACTGTTGTCATCCGTCTTTCTCAGAGTTTGCTGGGCCATCAGCAGGACAGCATGCGTGCAGTGTAGTCGCGAATGGAAGCTCCGCGCTCGGCGAGAGAAAGGAAAGACTTCTGGTGTTTGAATGTAGTCCAAAATCCAGAATCCACTGCTTTTTTCTTCGCTAGGGAAGCAGCGGCTTGAGTTGCTATTTGTTAACGCAGAAGTTCGAGCGACATCCTGTGATCTTTGGCTCAGGAGGCACGGCCAGGTTTCATCCTGGCCATCATGTGGTACCCGTGGGTGCCTTTGATTAGGTGCCAATGAATGTAGTGCTGGCCTCATTTCTGCTGACTCTGGTCTGGCCCACTCGATGTCTACTCTTGCGGCAAGACGCGCAGCGTGATCTGCATCCGAAATTGGCATCGCTTCTCGCAGCCCTCAACCAGACAGCCAGACTCAAGCTTGGTTCGGACAGATCGAGGTCAGCAGCCCCATATTTGAGAAATCTGGAGGCGACTTTACTCGCAATGGCTCAGAACACATCGCAAATTCCTGCACAACTCTTACATGGAGTCAAGGATGATGTTATGACAATGGTAGCGAATGAACTAAAACCCAGGATTCTGACAGAGCACCGTCAGATCCAGTCTCAGATAGCTGAATTCAGCGGCTTGTTTGCCAAATGTGAGGGGGTGCGTGGAGACGGTCTGAACGAGTCCTATCTTAAGCAAGAAGCGCTCCCAGTATTGATCGCAAACCACGAAGCATGCAGAAAACAGGAGTCCCTGCTGCAAGACAGATTGGAGGCTTGCAGAACCGCCCTGCAATCTTCGCGACTGGTCGATGCTTCAACTTGCGAATCGGCACGGCTGCTGGACAGAATCCCAGAGATGTCTGTTTGCTCGACCCTGAACGGTGAAAGCGCCGAGGCTTATCACCGTCGCATGCTTGAAGTCTTCCAAGATAGGTTGAAAAGTATTCGGATCCGCCGGCTCCTATGCGAGAACACCACAGGTGCACTCCATTTGCAAGAGTCAGCCTGTGACACTCAAGACCAAGAAGTTAAGCACCAGCGGCAGAGCTGCAATTTGATGCAGCGGCAGCTTGACTCGGCCGCCTGCGATCTCTCCTTATCCATGAACACAACTTGCTCCAAGTACCAGGCCTGCCGATCACAGGCAACTCTTTCCTACGACCTGGTAAGAAACACCGTGAAGGCTAGAGAGTCCAACCTTCACGACGAATGGAAGGCTTTGCAGCACATTGAGTGCATTTTGGAAGCAATGGTGGGAAGCGACATCATGAGAGCAGCGCAAGACTGCGGCCGAGCAATCTACAGACACTAGACGGCAGCAAAGTAGATACCCGAGCATAGTGGGGTCATCCTTTTTCGTTGGGCCACTGAGGCGTGGCACATCTTGTGGTCAACTACATCACCATGCCATCATGCCAACCTTGTGAAGACTTAGCAGAAGTGCCCGGCACCTCAGACTATAATGCAACAGTCTTCGCCGGCATACCAGCCACTTGGCAATTCAAAGGGTCAGACCCGCCACATGCTTTCCACAGTTTTCAATGATAGCATGTAGTGAATGCAGACCCAAGGCCAACGCACCAGTCGCAGAATGTGCAGCTTCTTGCTGCTTAGCCTGAAGGACGCCGTTTCCGATGGGTCAATTTCGACCACTGTCATGAACAGTTGCTGCCCGTGACATTCAATGCAAACGATGGAACATGCGAACAGATGCAGCTGCGCAAAAATGAGCAGCAGATTATTTGGACGACGACTAGCTGGTCTTGTGCGGGTCGCTGTCGGAGGACATGTTGTGTCGCACAACTCGTACCACTTTGTGCGTGCTGGGGTCACGCAAAAGCTTTCCAAAACAAACAACACTCTCCACAATAGGGCATAAGAGCTTTCACCACAACATGAGAAATGGTATCCATCTTCGTCTTGTGCGCCTCAAGTGACATCCAGTCTTCCCGTGTTCTGGAATCAGGGCAATCCTCCCAAACATCAGCTCGTGGATGTTTGCACGTTGCATTATGCGAAGTTTCGGGTGTGATGCCGCGTGCAGATTGAAAACTGCTGCTGGGTGTAACATGACTTCTGCATCGTCTCCTGAAGTCGATCCACATGTTTGCGCATGAGCCGAATCGTTTCGGCGATGCCGCCCTCAATGCCATCAATCCTGCAGGTCCGAATCAAACACAAATCAAACAAAAAGTACCTTCACAGCTCTGGCCTTTTTGCCGCAGAATGTCACAGCCTGATTGATGTGTACTACCAGATATTGCTCTTCCGCTGTTCTTGGAAACATGTGGTAAGATTATCCGGAACACATGGTTTTACACCAAGCACACGGGCTGAAACTTCTGCATCGATCACAGGTGCTTTAGTGGTGCTTTGATTGCGTGTGCCACACGACCTGCGCAGCCTTTGGGCTCGTCACCTGGGGTCCTTCTGTGATCAGGCACAGAGGCCATGGCAGATGCTGAAAAAGCCGACAGGCTGCCTGCAGCAGAACGCAAGCGTTTGAAGAAGGAGCCGGGGCTTCCTGCATGCGCAGGAAACAACACAATCGCTTCTTTGTTTGTGGTAGGAGGCGGAGGCAAAGGCCAAGGCCGAGGAGAAGGCCAAGAAGAATGCTGAGAAGCAGGAGCAGGTGGGGACGATGCTACATGCCCACCTACTGTCACGGCTCGCAGATCAACGGGTTAGCTCATTTGGCTCAGGCTAAATCCTCTGGAAAGCCGCAAGAAGAAAATCTGGAGGACTCCGGTTGTCGGTGCTCTGCCAATGGTCCTACGAACTGTCAGTGAAGGCCTTGTGCAGTGGGAGGACTTGGATCCGACAAAGTACAGAGAAAATCGGATTGCAGCCTTAAAAAAGCTAGCCGACCCGTATCCACATAAGTGGAATGTGACCATTTCTATCCCCCACCTCGTGGAGAAGTACAAGGACATCGAGGCAGGGGCGCACATGGAGTCGGAGCTTCTTGTCAGCAACAAGCCATCTCTGAGCTTTGAAGGGAAGCTAAGCTTCAAGTCCTGCGAATTCCCAAGGATAGTGTCTATCGCCGGTCGAGTCAAGAACAAGCGGACATCTGGAGCGAAGCTGCTGTTTTACGATCTCTTTGCAGACGGCGTGCGTGTGCAAGTGATGTGCCAAGCACAGCATCATGAAGATGGCGATTTTGCAGAGGAGCATGCGAAGACTGCTGGCTGCAAAGAGGAAGCTGATGACCCAATTCGATTCCCCAGCTTTCTTAATTAGCAACCAAGGATCAACCGTGGTGACATTATGGGTATTCGCGGTTTTGTCGGCAAGTCCAACAAGGGCGAGTTGTCAGTTTTCCCGAAAGCAGTAAAGCTTCTCTCAACTTGTTTGCACATGCTGCCTAAAGATCATCAAGGGCTGAAGGACCAGGAAGTGAGATATCGAAAGCGATACTTGGATCTCATGTTGAACGAGGATGTAAGGCGCACCTTCTACATCCGATCCAAGATTGTGAATTTCATTCGGCACTATCTTGACAGCCGTGGTTTCCTCGAAGTAGAGACACCCATGATGAATATGATTGCTGGCGGTGCAACTGCAAAGCCCTTCGTTACCCACCACAACGAGCTGAACTTAGACTTGTTTATGCGAGTGGCTCCCGAGCTTTACCTGAAGATGTTGGTAATCGGTGGCTTGGACCGTGTTTTTGAAATCGGCAGAAACTTCCGCAATGAGGGCATTGACCTGACACACAACCCAGAATTCACAGCATGTGAGTTCTACATGGCATACGCAGACTACAATGACCTGATGGACATGACCGAAGAGCTTTTCAGCGCCATGGTTTTGAACATCAAGGGAAGTTATAAAATTGAGTATCACCCGGAGGGACCTGATGGTCCAGCAGTGGAGATTGACTTCACTCCGCCGTGGCCGCGCGTCTCCATGGTCGAAGAGATCGAGAAGAAGGGCAATATCAAACTGGGGCCATCTGGCAGAATGAAGAGTTGTGTATGTTTGCGGTGCTCAACCCAAGCGCACAGTTCAAAGTCCAAGGGAAGGTTCAAGGTTTCCAATCGTACTGCAGTGCTGTTGTGTATCTGAAGAAGTTGCATTGGATCATTCTGACTGCTGCAGAGGCAGCTCGCTCCTTTTTCTTGTAGCGCCTGTTCTTGCTGGCTGGCTTCTCTGATTATGCTCGGCCCGATTTTGACAGGAACTGATGCCTCCAGTCACCCCCTTGCATGCTGACCCCGAAATCGGTATTCCGAATCGTGGCATGTTGAAGCCACCACGACTGCAACTACGGCTACGGCGAGCGCTTCAAGTTCAGCTTTCGTTGGTTTGCGGTTCAGGGCTGCATAGTCTGAACCAAAAATCTATTTCTTCGGTGTCATTCTATCGCTTCTGATTTGTTGCGAATGTTTGGGGGCTGGGTGTATGTGCGCACGACGCTTGTTGGAGAGGTACTTCGAAGGGGTTCTTGCATGATCACGCACTGATACGATTTCAGGAGTGCACTCTTGAAATAGTCGGCTTTTTGAGTCTTCACGGCTACATTAAGGCGCAATTTTGACGACCCTGCCACGGTGAAGCAGCTGGATGACCTTGCACTTCGGCTGTTGGATGCCAGAATGCATCGAGCCAGTTGTGATTCCCTGCGCCCAGGTGACCAAGCTGGAGTTAGAATGCCCCCCGCCGCGATCCGCCGCAAGGCTGTTGGACAAGCTCTGTGGCCACTTTATCGAAGACAACATTGCTTCTCAGCTGCCATAATTACCAGCTATGATGACTAGGTCTGCTCTAGGGCTCACCATTAAAAAAAAACTGTTGTCGTCCTGGCTTTGGCTTCAGGTCAACCCAACATTCATCACAGAACATCCTCAAGTGATGAGCCCGCTGGCCAAGTGGCACAGAAGCAAAACTGGCTTGACGGAGCGTTTCGAGCTCTTCGTCAACACAAAGGAAATTTGCAATGCATACACGGAGCTGTGCCTTGACGGCGTCGGTGTTTCGAATGTTCCCAAGTGTGGAAGTACGGTACATGTGGATGTCCTTAGTCTACCGAGGAACGATCCGGAGAGGCAATTGCAGTGCTTCATGGGCCAAGCAAAGGCAGCCCAAGAGGGCGACGACGAAGCGCAAGGAGTTGACCATGATTTCGTCACTGCCCTGGAGCACGGCTTGCCACCGACAGGAGGCCGCCGGATGAAGTCGCTTTCGCTCAACATTTGCGAGGCAACTGCACATGTGTCAGGCTGGGGTTGCGGCGTTGACCGCCTCACCATGTTCTTGTCCGACAAGCACCGCGACCAAATTAAGTTAGCTACCACCTGCCAGATATCAGTCAAGGTCTGCGGTGATGTCGCGAGATGTCCCGATAGCCGAGAAGCAGAGAGAGAGAGAGAGCAACTTTATGCAGAATCCCAGAATCCACACTGCAGCTGAGGAACAACATCAAGGAGGTCATCCTTTTCCCAGCCATGAAGCCTCTCTGAGATGGCGTTGTGCCGAACTACACTCGGCTGCTGCAAGTCTGATGGACAGACCGCCCAATTTTTGCCTTAAGCAGGGCAGCCTAGAATCCAAGGCCCGCGAGGTGAAAGACAAGACCCAAACCGCACGTTCTCGCGATGTAGTAGGATGTAATTGGAAGCCCCTAGCAGCCCTAGCACTGCTGATTCCGAGAAGATGTGATGATCAGGCGCGGTCTGATTGAGAATATAGCCTTGGCGAAAGCACTTGGGCTCAAGCCTTCAGCATTCCCGAATCACCCTAGTTTGAGCGTGCAATGATAAAATACGAATACAGCAGCTCGGCAACTCCGGAACTGCTTTTGTCAGAGATGGTTGCTCCCTGACGTCCTGAGGCCAATACAACTGTACCTTCCTCTTCCGTCTCAGGGGCAGTGTGTTCCCCTTTGCCTTCGCGGTCGCCTTTCCCTGAATCTTGTCAAGAACAGGTGGCAAGTGAGATCAACAACGGCACCATGCGAGCACACACTCTAAGGTAGCATTGCTGCCTTCTTGTTGCTTCTTGGCGCGAGCACTGAACGTGTTAAACGAGCGGACTGTTATGGTTCATGTCCCTCTGAACTGCCGCCATCCAGGAAGTTCTTCTCACTCGATGGCACCGTGGATTTCACTCAATGGGAAATGCTGTCGGGAAATGGTGGGTCGGCTGCTTGGAGTGGCTTTAACTTCTTGGTTGGATTCGTGATCGTGTTCAGGACTTCGCAAGCCTACACCCGATTCTGGTCTGCATTGGGGGATACGCATCAGATGATGGCAGCATGGCTGGAGGCTGCTAGCAGCCTCGTGGCTTTCTCTAGGAGTTCGCCTGCTGACCCGCTGTTAGTCGAGAATTGGCTCCATACTGTGATGCGACTTTTCAGCTTGCTTTCTGCATCGGCACTACAAGAACTTACAGACGTGGCATACCACCACACGTGGGGTCTTCCAACATTGGATGCTTCCGCCATTGATCACCAGAGCATCGAGACGTTGGACAGCTCAAGCTGCCGGGTTGAGCTGCTGTATTATTGGATTCAGATATTTGTAAGCGACGGCTCGCACCATGGGATCCTAATCACGCCGCCCCCGCTTCTGAGTCGGACATTGGCAGAACTTGCTAAAGGCATGGACAGGTATCAGGATGCGATGAAACATTCCAAGGTTCCCTTCCCTTTCCCGTATGCACAAACCACTCTGACCTTACTGATTTTTCACTGGATCCTGACTCCGCTCGTCATGGTACAGTGGTCGGCATCTACAGCAGGAGCATGCATCTTCACTTTTGTCCAAGTCTTCACCCTTTGGTGTTTGAATGCAACTGCTGTCGGCTTCGAGCGGCCTTTCGGTGGGGAGCTGAATGATATCGATCATCTGGAATTACAAATGAACATGAACAAGAGCATCATTAATTTGATGGAGCCTCGCACGCGCAGAACTCCGTTTATACCCTCCTCGACCTATCTGGATATCGATGTCCTCCGAAAGCGGGACACTATTCATGCTGCAGCTTTGCACCAGGAAGGCTGGCAATTGAAAGACATGTCAGATGATCGGCATCAATTTCTGCGATGTTGCAGCCGATCGCGGGCGCGCAGTGCTCGCAGCACTATCGCGGTTTCTACGCGCTACAGTAGCAAACGCTACGGTTTTATTGATGGGGAGAGGACGGCTGTGCTTACAATTGGCATTGTGGGATCTGATCTGTGCCTGGCTTTGCCAGCTCTTCCCGGAGATGTGCGGAGCACTTTCGAGGTGCTGAATGTCCGCGGTCAGCCATGCACCATGCGGTTCAAGCGGATACCCATTCAGGATCGACATCTTCTGCACAAGGTACCAGATCCGAGCTGGACGCTCATCTTGCAATGAGAATCTAAACAGCTTTTCTGCAGCTCCGACGGCTGGGACAATGCGTTTGAATCAGCAGGCTGTGTAGGCAGCAAGTTTTGCAGTGCTCGAAAGCGTTTGTTTTTTCGTCATGCGTTGTGCTTCATTCTCTTCGCCCTACTTTAGGCCGTAACAGATTTCGTCGTCTTTGTTAGAATATAAAAATGAATCATGACACCGGCTGAGAATGGAATAATATCAGATTATCCCTTTAAGCATGGCCTCCCACTGGAGCTCGAGCGCGCACAAAGCCACTGTCCTTGGCTGCAAGACTCCTTGCGGCGATGCAGTAGTTGTCGGCAGTTTGCTGTTGCACAGGAGTGATGACTATTTAGACTTCCCAGTGGACTACATGTTTGCCGCAGAGACCCTCGCCAAAGCCTACGAAACACAAAAGTTCAAAGGAAGCTTGGCTTCGGTGAAGGCCCAGGGCACGGAAGAAGGCGATGCGAAGGACTGGTTTGCAATGACTTGCGCCAAAGCGACGCATCGGACGTTACTCATGTGCGGTGCAGGTCATCACCCGCGGGGTCTCCCAGCATTTGATCAGCGATGATCTGGCTGACACGCCGCGGGACAAGGCTTGCCTTCCGAGCCTTGTGTCGGTGTCCGGGAGCTCTCTGTGCAGGCAACCTCAGTCTGCCCAGAGGCGAAAGCCGCGTTGCCTGGTGCTGTGCAGGCCCAAATGTCGAACACTGTTTCATGACAGTGGAAGGTGCTGTGTCTGTGTGGCGCAGGATGTTGAACAGGATGTGTCCGGAGACCAGAGATCGCGACCTTGTCCTTCCAGTATACCGTCGGGAACCGGTGAGCCTCCCATTCATGTGCTTCGGCTGCAGATTGCTGGGCAAGTTGTTGGGGCGGCAGATTCTGTGACCCGTTCCGTTCTGCGTTGCGATTCTTGTGAGGAGGCGCAGTCAAGTGCTGCCGATGAGGGCAAGCCCACGGAACCTCCCGATGCTGCTGCAGATTCCCGCGCGCCGGAATCTGCGGAGCCAGTGGAGAGCAAGATCGTTTCGCAAATTTCGCCTCGCAAAGAAGGCTCGCAGACCCGAGTGGGCATCGAGCGAGCAAGTCTGAACATGTTTGCCAAAACATCAGATGGTGATTGAGGTTCGTAGGATCTCAGCACAGGGTTGGAACAGTTCAGGTCCACAGGACATGGTCCTGCCGTGGGGTGGCGAGGCTGCAGCAGAAGAGGAGCTTCCGCTTCCCCTCAGTAAACAGGGGTGTGCACCTGCGTGCAGGCAAAAACACATTCAAGGATTCCAGGATGTGTGTGTGTGTGAACTTCCTTAGCACATGGGAAAAAGAGGGTCACTCCTACATTGGTGGCGGGCAGCTGCCATGAACCCTTATGGGCACCAGGTTGCTCGCCAACTAACCTAAACCCTAAGCCCAGCTTCCCCTGATTCGGGGACCTAAAAAATACAATATAGAAACAATATAGAAGTAAACGCTGGGCCCTAAACCCTACGTGCCCACCGACCCCTGTCTTGGGGAGCAAGGCACCCTAAACCCGAAGCCGGGCTTCCCCTAACATTTGGGGACCTCGGCACATATGTCCTAAACCACCCTTACAAAAGCCCTGGCAGGAAACCACCCCCACACGCAAACCGCAGCCCTAGAAACCAGGCGCCGGGGGGCGGGTTGGGAGGGAGGGTTTGAGCCAACACAAACACGCCGTTGTACAGAAGCATGCGGGGGCGTAAGCGCGCGAGTGTTCGATTCAGGACTTAGCCCTATCAAAAACCAATGGAATGAAAAGATATGTGGTTCGGAATACCAGTTCCCCATTGGTAGGAAAGATTGTTAGTGAAGGAAATAAAGTTTGCAGTGTAGAGATCTCTGCCTAATTTAGTGCCCAGAAAACCAACACGAAGCACCAAACCCTACAAAGGGTGATTGCGCCTCCAAAACCCGACGGGATAGTCGGGTAAGTTGCGTGGCTGTGAACTCATAATCTTCAATAGGGCATGGTTAAGATGCGTACATGGGTGGCAGATTATCAGCACTATGGATGTCTGGCCCCCCAAACCCATGAACCTTGGAAATCAAGCAGGGTTTTTTAAACCGTAGAGCAAACGTACCCCAAAATTTATATTTTTTGCCTCGTAGTACTGTAGTAGTGCTACATAAGAATCAGCCTCTCAAGGACAAAACGTAGAAGAACTGAGGCTAAGATGGGGAAAATTTACTATCGTAAAAGCAGCGGTTAACACGCTATTTTATTTTCACGTAAAAATGGGCCTGTAATGCTTCCTACCCTCCGCATACATACATACATACATACATACATACATATATGCATACATATATACACCCATACATATATACATACATACATACATACATACATACATTACATTACATTACATTACACTACACTACACTACACTACACTACACTACATACATACATACATACATACATACATACATACATACATAATATATATATATAGAGAGAGATAGATAGACAGATAGATAGCTCGATAGATAGATACATAGATAGATAGTGGTGGATCTTAATTATCACAAGGGCCTGTCCCGGAAAAAAAAAAAAAACGAATCCAAATTTTCAGAAACTCCTAAACCCTATCTATGAGGACTTGAAAAATTCCTTTGTGGGACATCCTACAAACCCTGTAAACAGCCAAGCGTCGATGGAGACGTTCTCAAGGAGCTTCGGTGGTAGCACGGTAACCGGCACACCTTCGATCTCATCTCGCGATATGTATCCGCCTAAGCCACTTGGAAGGCTTAGAGCTTAGGGTAGTTGTGGGGCTTAGGTTACGGATGAGGGTTTAGGGTTAAGAGCCAAGGGTCTCGCCGCTTTTCGGGTTGAAGGTGGATCTGTAACCCCAAACCCTACAAAATAGTAGGCCATGACCCCTTAATCATAGGGTCTAACCCTTAAAACGGCTAAACGCAGACAAACCAGCGAGGCTGCGGGCTTATGGGTGACTAGGTGGGTTACAGCTGCCTTTATTTTTAAAACTTGGGGTTATAAACACTTGTAGCTAACAACCCTACTTCGCGAGTTAAGCGCAACAAAAGCTACAAGCTTAAGGGACTAGGTGTGGGCTGCAGCTAAGATGCCTAAGCCCTAAACCCTAAACGTTTTGGAACACGATCGAAGACGGAGGACATGAGGTTTTTCAATTCTTTCGACTGGAAGGCTGGTTTGACTTATGCTTAAGGTGGTTTGGGCTTTAGGGTTGAGAGTTTGGGGTTTAGAGTTTAGGGGTGAAGGACTGCGTGATCACCACAAGGATGCAAGCCTAAGGCCCTAAACCCTAAGCCCTAAACCCTAAAACCTAAAGCCTAATGGGAACTCTTGATGAATAACCCCCCCCCCCCTCCCCGCGAGGTAGGTCAGCTGGTGGCCTGATCCCCCCCAAATAAATTCAGCGGGCTTCGGGCTTGCCCCCCGACTCCTTCTAGGGTTTTGTAGGGCAGGTAGGCATGCGGGTCGAGGGTTTAGGGTTGAGGTTAGGGGTTTAAGGCTTCCATTTAGACTTTACATTCCTGGGCTTAGGGGCTTTACGCTTTAGGGCCGAAACCTTAAATCGTTTACGGTTGGGGTTTAGGGCCGACACCCTCACCCTAAACCCTCGACCCTAAACCCTCAACTGTCAAACACAAGCAATGACAAAACACGATTGCTCTGCAGCGGCCGGATCATTAATCTGGGGGGTATGCCTTGCCTGGGCTAGGCCTTTGCATGCTTAAAAGACTAAATATTTTACGTAGGCCTTTGATTGAAAATTTCTTGCTTGGCCACTTCTGGAATTTCTTCACTCCAGCCCTGTTTAATGCTTAGGCTTGCTTAATATTGAGCCTTTGCTGGAGTCATGGGCGACATGCCTTGCAGAGACTGTCCTAACCTCCCCGTAAACCCTGCACCATGAACCTTAAACCCTGGACCCCAACCTGGCCCCAAACAATGAACCTCTAATCTCAACACACTGAACCCTGAACCCCTTCTAAGTCTGCAGGCAAGTTGGTTTTTGGAGATGCTTGGGGCAGAAGTTTGCCATTGATCGGGGGGGGCCCTGGACCCCCAAGCGCTGGGCTCCACCAGCCCTGCCCTTGAACATCAAACCCAAAGCTCCCCAACACCCTGAAAACCCCAAAAACCTGTTTTTGTTGGCGGGTCGTCGAGCCTCAAACCCTAAACCCCTAAACCCTAAACCCTAAACCTTAAACCCTGAGCCCTAAGCCCTAAACCCTAAACCCAGTATAGATCCCTCATGAAGAAGGCTTGGTCCCTAAGCCCTAAAGCTCCAACAGGGATCCAGGGACTTAGCAGGCAGGGTCCCTGCAGTAGGGGTTCAGGGTTTAGGGTTTTCGGGTTTAGGTCTACGGGTTTAGGGTTTTAGAGCTTTAGGGCTTAGAAAGAATGAATTTTATCGGGACGGGACTAAAACGGAACATTGCCATTCGCTCTTCCGACCCCTATATCTTACCTTTGGTTAGTAGGGAATGGAGGAATGGGAACTATCATAAGTACCATTACTACCAGTCTTCCATTCCCTACTAACCAAAGGTAGGATATTGCATACGAGGTGCTGCCGTCTTCATCTAGGTCTTCGAAGGTCTGGAGAAAAGAAGGCAAAGCTTCCTGCCCAGGGGTTTAGGGTTTAGGGTTTTAGGGTTTAGGGTTTAGGGCTCTGTGGATTTCTAGTGCATGTACAAGCTTACTACTGCTGCATGTCCTAGAATGTCATGCCTGTCTGCAAAAACCTAAGACGTCGACTTGTGGGCTGAATACCCTAGCCCCAAAAAAGCTTGACCTGTTCAACTGTGGTAGGATTATATCAGCCCCAAAAGGCTAAAATGTTACCTACTCAGCTACTAAGATTATGAGCGTTGTATAGCCTTCAAAGTTTACCTGGACCCTGAGACATCTATCTGGATGTTAAGGGTTCCTTGTTATGTCACCCTTCTGTAGCTCATTGATATAGTGATATAGTTCCTTTAAAACAAGCCTTGTTGGGGAGAGGTTTAGGATTTTATAGGTTCCCAGCTCAAGCCCCGACCCGGAATTTAGGGAAGAGTCCGTGATGAACATGATGAGCGTGCAGTGAGGGTTTAGGATTTAGGGCTTACGGTTCACAGCTTAAGGTTGTAGGATTTTAGGTTGTATTTTTCAGGATTTAGAACCTAAGATTTAGCTTCCGGGTTGAGGTTGCTGGGTTTAGAACATGCTGTTGAAGGAGCCTAGCTGAATGGCGCAGACCAAACCCCAAATCCTAAACCCTGCCAGCTCATGCTGGCACTCCTACCTGGGTTTAGGGTTTACCCTAAGGGTCCTAAGACTTTTGGGAACCTCAACATGTAGGGGTTCTGAGACCCCAACGAGACCTAAGGACTCTTTTTAGGAGATTCCGGCCCCTCCTAAGGAGATACCTGGACCCTTAGGGTAGGGTTTAGGGACCCTCAACGCTAAGCCCTATGCCTCCTAAAACCTCAACCCTAAACCCTAAACCCCCTAAATCCAAAGCCCTAAACCTTAAAACCCAAAGCCCTAAACCCTAAACCCTAGTACCCTAATACCC